CAGACAGCGACTGTAGTTGCTCTCTTAAAATCATAAATAATCCTAAATTGTTAACAAAATTATCAATTATAACGGAAACAGCAAGATCACAACGACAATCACGAGATGTTAGTAGTAGTACGAATAAACGAACACTAGTTAGTATATAATAAACATGGTCACTTTATACTTCCAGAGACAAACAAATGTTTACTATATTTTCTACTACCCAGTAATGGCTACTTAACTAATTATCCTCATTAAATAATGTTAACTATCTTAATAATTAGAGAGATTGCTTAATTAGAGACCTACTAAATGTATTGTTGTTAGGTATTATGTAATTATGGGTATCATTACGTGCTTTTACTTACTAATCCATATCAAATTTAACTTAAAAGCACTTACGAAAAAATATATAAAGGTTTTTATTCTATGTATTTATTAATTTTTTTCGATCCATTTATTTGGCAGAGTTGCAACTTTATGCACATGTTCATAGCATCAAATGATAGTAGACTAGACAAGGTATAAGGAAAATAAGGTTTCAAAGCGGGACCTCGCGGTACTTAGCAGGAATTTAATTTAATGTGACCCGCTCCATACAAAAAAATCACAAAACACATTTTTCTGACCAAACTATAAAGTTTTTGTAATTTTTGCCCAAAACAATTATTATTGAGATTAACGAGCTCTATCTATCTACATAGAAAAATTTATAAAAAAACAAAGTTGGTCCCTAAGTCACTAAAATCACAGTATCGACCCACTGTGCGTCGTGTCGGAACGTGTTTTTAAAAATGGATAAAATTGAAGTTCGCGCGGTAACGTCTCTGTTTGAAAAAAAATACTAAGGAGCTGAGACTTGAGAGCAAGTTCATGATCCTCAATATTCTACAGTTGCGTGTTGGTGTGCAGAGTTCAAGCGATGAATCATTTCATCTCATTTCAGTCAGTTCATTTACGACGACCACCGCACGGGACGCCCTACATCGGTAGTGACTCAACAAATGATTAAAAAGTTGAAAAAATTGTTTTGGCGGATCGTAGTATTATTGTTTGTTTTATAGCAGAAGAAATTAAGATTTCTATAGGAAGTTTCCATAATATTACAAACAACCATTTGGGTATGAAAAAAAGTGTCAGCGCATTGGGTGCCTGATGCGCAGAAACAAACGAGAACTGAAAATTTTACAAAACTGCGTTTGTTATAAGAAAACCTTGACCGATTTTTTACTTGATTCAGAACTATGAACGAACCATGGCTTCACTGGTATGACTCGAAAACAAAAAAACAATCCATGACTTGGAAGAGACCGTTATCTCCAACTCCGAAGAAAGCTAAAGCGATTCCATCCGATTTGGATAATCATCCATCCATAATCATGGATTGTTTTTTCTGGGATAATCAAGGGGTGGTAATGATCGAATACCTTAATCATGGAGCCATTATTATGGGGACTTTGTACGCAGGACAAATAACAAAGTTACGTTAAGAAATAGACGAGGTGCGGCGTGGCAAACTCGCTAAAGTTGTTTTGTTTTACCAATATAATGCCGGGGGCACAAGTCTAGAGTTGCGATAGCTACCATTCAAAGAGTTGGCTTCGATTTTTTTTTTTTTTTATTGCTTTGATTTGTGGACGACCTCACAGCCCACCTGGTGTTAAGTGGTTACTGGAGCCCATAGACATCTACAACGTAAATGCGCGACACACCTTGAGATATAGTTCTAAGGTCTCAGTATTAGTCACAACGGCTGCCCCACCCTTCAAACCGAAACGCATTACTGCTTCACGGCAGATATAGGCGGGGCGGCACCTACCCGTGCGGACTCACAAGAGGTCCTACCACCAGTAATTACGCAAATTATAATTTTGCGGGTTTGATTTTTATTGCACGATGTTATTCCTTCACCGTGGAAGTCAATCGTGAACATTTGTTGAGTACGTATTTCATTAGAAAAATTGGTACCCGCCAGCGAGATTCGAACACCAGTGCATCGCTCGATACGAATGCACNACCACCAGTAATTACGCAAATTATAATTTTGCGGGTTTGATTTTTATTGCACGATGTTATTCCTTCACCGTGGAAGTCAATCGTGAACATTTGTTGAGTACGTATTTCATTAGAAAAATTGGTACCCGCCAGCGAGATTCGAACACCAGTGCATCGCTCGATACGAATGCACCGGACGTCTTATCCTTTAGGCCACGACGACTTCGTAACGACGAATTCGAATTCGACGAATTAATGAAAAACCCACCATATTCACCGGTTCTAGCCCCTAGTGATTTCTACCCATTTCCTCGATTTAAGCAACATCTAAAGGCCATAAATTTGAAGATGACGACGCACTAGTCGCCGCGGTACACGATTTTTTAAGGGACCAGGAAGACTTTTATAAAAAAAAGGGAATTTTAGCTTTCGAAAAAAATATATATACAAAGCGTATAAACCTGAAACGTGACTACGTTGAAGAATAAAATAACATTTAATTAAAGATACTCTTTATCACTTTTTATTGAATACCCTTAATATATTATTTGTGTTCAGAAATTGACGCGACACATCTATTTTAACTGTTAGTTAAAAAATAAGGTGTAGGTAAATCATGCCACATTACAAATTTAAATTAAAAATTACCTCTTTCTCAACCTCCTCTCGTTTTGTGGACGTCATTAATGGGGTGTTTTCTAACTTTAATCGCTGTTGCTGTAAATCTTTGTATAATTTACGTACTTCCTCAATGGTCAATTCATAGAAATCGTCAGGAAGATCTTCTAAATCATTTTCTATGATTTCTGGTTGTGTGAATACAATAGCTTTTTGTGTACCCAACTAAGGAAAAGAGGCTTGGTAAATTTTTTTATCTAGTTTAGGTTTCTATAAAACAGCAATATTTTAAGTAACTTACAAAATTTACTTCTTCTTCAATTTTAAGTCTCCTTTCTAGAAATTCTTGTGATAGAGATGAAGAAATATTTCTTCTATCGGAGTCTATTTCTAGCATATTCTGAGTCTCTTGTTGAATTTCATCATTTACAACATTTTTATCGAGATTGTTTCTTTCTGTTTTGCTGACTTCAGCTATATGTTGCTGTTGTTCTTTGACAATTTTAAGAGTCTTTGCCGTTGGTTCTGACAAGAAATTAATGGGAACAGAGGGTCCTGGCAATGAAATGGATTCATCAGGTGTGTTCTTCTCTAATTGTATGTCACTTCCTTTATTTTTATTTTCCGAATTTTTATTTTCAGATATTGGGCAACGATATACGGCAGACACATTTGCTTGCCTGGAACAAAACAAAAGGGTTCACCTACAATCTATTTGTATGAACTTATAACCTATTTATAGCCTATTGCAGCCCAGACGCCCAGACGGGTAGATGAAGCTCACGGGGTCAACCGGAATGAATTTGTTAACACTTTTTTTTTGTGCGGGGGTCCGAACCTCCTACGAGGGAGCAAGCGGGGTTTGTCTTGACGGTCTGCAGGTGTTGGAAACAGAACGCAGACCCAAGGATATTTTTTGGGCCCTACCGCACCAAACGACTCAATCTTGCACTCTTACACCCGACGTTCGATCGCCGCCCGGGGTTAGAACCCGGTCGGAGTAGGGCGGTTCCCGCGATCAACACTTTCAGTCAAGTCAAGCTCACCGCGCCATCTCGGGGATGCCGGGCCATCGAGGTGATCGACGACGACCAACGACGCCGGTCTTCGCGGTATGGCAGCCAGTCAGACCGCAGATACCCCGCTGGGTCAGCAGAACCAGCCTGTCGGGTCGGAACCCGATACACCACTGACCGAGTTGCTTTTCCACAGTATGCTTGGCGGCGTCAGTGACGATGGCAATGCGGACCGTCTCCCATCCTCCTGGTGCCAGCGCGCTCGAGTGATTGTAGCGTGCAGCGCTGCCTCGACCCCTTCAGGTCGTCTTGTGATCATCACCTGCCTTCTCACAGGGGCCGGAGCTAGACGAACGCCCTCCTCCGATCCCCAGCTCAGCGACGACGGCACGGCGCCGAGAGGGAAGAAGAGCTCTCCCTCTCCCGTTCCGCGGCCTCCTTTTGGTAGATGGTGGACTCACAGAAGTCGAACTTCGCCAGCAAGGCTCGTCGCTTTCGAGCATCGTCACCACGACGGACGGCAGCGACAAGTCCGGTCCTATCTTCGCAATTAGGATGCAGCGCTGCTCCGCGAAAGCGGGCAGTATGCGGGCGTGTGGTCTCCGATTTCCTCGTCACAACTACTGCAGACGTAGTACTACAGCGTCGGTTCCATACGGGCGACGAGGTGCACGTACGGCCAAAACAGCCGGGTACACCTGGGTCGCCTAATTTGCTAACACTAGCTCTAGCAAGAATAATCGGAGAATCTACCAACGGATCAGATATACGACCCACTGAGAAGATCTGGTGAGAAACTCAGTGGGCTAACTTGTTATCACTAAATGTGACATGACGCAAGAACTGTGAACAGTTTGCAGTGTGTACTATACCTGTGTATGTAGTTATACTACTAAACTGATTTTACTGCTAATATGTAGTTAATAATTAACTTAAATAAAATTACTTAACTCTAATTTCAGAACTTTCTTACCTAGCATCTTCCAACTTATTTAGCAGTCTCAGAATGGCTTTGCCTTTTATTAAACCAAGATGTCTTAATGATTTTAGTTTGAGAGCATCAACACCGACAACTTCCTGGCGCATATATAAAATACATGGATTTAGCAATGAGCCAAACTCATTAGGTGCTAATTTCATTATCATATCATATAATGCTATGTTTGGATTAAAATCAGCTGTTCTTCTTTCACCTAAAATAAATAAAAAAACAATTGTAAAAACACTGGTGCTGGTGATCAAGTTAATATATAAAGGGTTTGTGTTTTATGTTACTTCATAAAGAGGCTGGAACTATAAAAATTGTGATCTTCCCCTACCTAAAATATAAAAGTAATATTTTTTCTAATAAATAATGCTTGATTAACACTACTTTTACGTTTTAATTGCACATATGTAGTTTTCATTGTGCCTATGATTTGTGAAAGTTGAAGGACATACTAGATGTATTATTGTTCTAATGAGTCTGGTAGCGTCTAAATGACATTAGTAGTTCAATTATATCAAAAATATCATGTCCATCAAAAATAGTAATGTGTGTTTAAATTTTTTCTTCTTCGGAAAACAGATTTATGTTATTATACTTACCATCTTCTAACATTAAACCAATTGTGACAATTGATTCCTCTCGTCTTGTTTCACACTCAACCATTTCAAGTGTAGCTCTATTTGGCACATTAGAAAATCTTATGGTTGTTGTTAAATCCATTATCTGATTATGAAACTTCAAGTTGTAGTCTGAAGGTTGGAACCCTTGTTTTTGACATGCATCCTCTAAGATCTAAAATTATATTGATTTGACTAATTAAACCTTACCACTATTACTATATGATTGATACATTTACACTAATTTGCAATTTAATTTTTATTTATTGGTAATCTTGTAATTTTTTTTATATCAAATTATTTTAAATTATTATTGTAATGTTAAAAATGGTTCGTCAAGGCTGAAACATTAGTATTAGAATAAATATTATAATCACTACATTACACAGCAGTCATGAAGAATATTTGTGCACGAATTGAATACAATTTTGCATTTTATAATGAATTAATCGAAATAGTACATTTGAATTCAGTGTTTGAGTGTTTTTTTTAGAAACAAGCATCATATAAATATTCATAGTTTACCACCAACAAGACAACTGATATGGAAAGTTATAATAAGCATATTTAGGGGTAGTTTAAAAAACTAAATTTTATATGTTTTCTGAAAATACTTTCATATTAAACATTTACTTTATAGCATTCCAAATCTAATACCTGTAACATGCTAGTGTCTGGTGTACAATGCACTTTGTGTCTTCTTCCATTGGGGGTTAAAATGATGATATCTTTCGACATTGTTTATTTTTGTTGGTTTTATCGTTTTACTAATTGAAATAAAATAATTATTTTACGATCTTCCAAAATATCTACAACTTCCTACATAACCTAAAACTAAAATACAAAATAAGTAACTTTACATTACAAACAACAAGTCATCTGTTTATAATTTTTTATCTGTCCCCAATTTGATTCTCTTTGCCTCAAATATTAAGTGTATTTTATCTATGCTCTTTGCATGCACAGACTATGTAGGTACTAAGAGATGCTTAACATAAGTGTATTTATTATCTATGCTATATATTAAAAATGTACGTACGTTGAAGAAGCAATNAAATAAGTAACTTTACATTACAAACAACAAGTCATCTGTTTATAATTTTTTATCTGTCCCCAATTTGATTCTCTTTGCCTCAAATATTAAGTGTATTTTATCTATGCTCTTTGCATGCACAGACTATGTAGGTACTAAGAGATGCTTAACATAAGTGTATTTATTATCTATGCTATATATTAAAAATGTACGTACGTTGAAGAAGCAATGGTAATGATTGAGCCCTAAACACGTCATTACGGATCCTCCCGATCCATTAACGGTGCTTTTAGGTACCTCAAGCATCGATCATCCTAGCCGAACCCGTTGCTTGCGACGAAGGGCTCGACGAGTAAATTAATCCATAGACATAGCCCACTGAGTTTCTCGGCGGATCTTCTCAGTGGGTCGCGCTTCCGATCCGGTGGTAGATTCTGCGAAGCACTGCTCTTGCTAGAGCCAGTGTTAGCAACACTCCGGCTTGGGCCCTGCGAGCTCACCTACACGTCAAGGAAAAGCTGAAATAGCCTCTCAAGGTTATCAACATAGCTAGGATAAAAAAAAAAAAACGATTGCGAGAACCCTAAAGAGTGGAGAGCACTGTTTTTCTCAGTGGTTTCGTAAGTCAGGCGTTAGTTATCAGTTTGCAAAAATACTTATAGCATGAAGGGAATTATTAAAAAAAATAGCAAATGAATTAATAGGTCATTGCTGCTATTTTAATCTACAAATGTGTATTCTAAAACTTGGTGTCAAACGTCCTATGAATATTTATAGTTGAACATAATAATAACTACTGATATGCCGATCTAGCTCCACTTTTTCAAAAATGGCATCCAATTTATCGGTAATAGGGCGACCAGAGCGACGTGCATCTTTGACATCAAAATTTCCGGATTGAAAACGCACCAAATTTGTGCTACTCTCACAGACACTGCACTAGGTCCATAAACATCGCAATTTTCTTTGCTGCGGGCTGGCGTTGCATTTTTACTTTTTTTGTAGTAAAATTTTAAAATGTATGGAGTTTCTTCATTAGACAGTACGAAAAATAAATAAAAATAATTTTCCTAATTTGAATTTGGAATTATCTTCTTTAAAATTTAAACTTTTAATGATACCAAAACCAGCCTGATACTAATAGTATAGCCAAAGAGTTTTTGTTACAAGTTTATATATATGCGAATAGACTATAATGCGAAAAGACTTTTCCCCAACCTATTAGTATTAAAAAGTGTATAATCTATGGTATTAAACATTATAATTTATGTATGTACAAATGTTTCTCGATTATTAATATATTTGAGTTTTATCGAATCCTCCCTAGCCGCTTACGGTTTTTAGAACCGTCACCGTTCTCGATTCCGATCTGGTGGTACATTCAGCGAAGCTTTTGCCAGACACAGTGATATCAAATTCTGTCAGATTGAGTCCGTGAGCTCAGCTCACATGCCCGTCCGAGCGTACCTGGAATAACGCCTTAGACTACGACGATTATCTAGGGAAAAAAATCACTATACTCCAAACGAATATAATTTACCTATTAGACTACGGACTGTCCCTAATGAAAAATGTTGATCAGGATTGCGCTTCGAAAGTCGTAAAATTATTAAAATTTCCATTCATCGTACCTTGAATGGGGGTAATATGGGCGAAGGAGCGCGGAGATATATGATACAAATGATACTCGACCGTGATGAGGAATAGGAAGGACTTATGGATCTTTAGACAACCCGTCGTGCTAGAAACCCACGCAGGGGCACCGGAGGGTGTTTACGATTAATTTTGCATAAGGTAATTGGAGTTACAGCAACTCCGCAACAGGAAAAAAATACAAATATTTTTAATAAACCTTTTAGGAAAAGGAATGAATCTGTACATAAAACACATGAATATTGTCCAAAAAATATATTTATTGTAGTAGACAACACGAGGGCGTGCGCCCGGTTCCAGCCTGCTCCGCGCGCACGTCCCACAACAACGCTTCGCTATCTACGTCCAGCTCTCCGTTTTAATAATTGGAATAGTTTATTTAATAATTACATCTTTTCTTTTATCTGTCCGTATTTTAAACATAGGTATAACTAACTTCGTCTTTGTATAACTTGGTGTAAGAGCAGCCTTCAAGAATTGAAATAGGGTGGCGTAAAATACGCCTCACAGCACTGTTTCCATTTCTACTCGTGTCCGCCCTCTAAAACAAAAACACATCGACATTTTAATTAAATTCAGACGTAATTTAAGTGGGTTTGGTTGTCATTTTACCCTCGTAAAAGAAACGAAACGAAAAATGAAAGATTCGTTTGTTTATTATCAATATATTTTTCCCTACCTAAGCTGCTGACCTAGGGGGCTACGCCAGCGTAACTGGGGGAATAAGTGAGCTCACGGGGCTCCAACCAGAGGGCGTTGCTAACACTAGCCCTAGTAAGAGTAGTGCTTTGCAGAATCTACTACCGGATCGGAAACGCAACCCACTGAGAAGATCCGGTGGGGATCCAGTGGGCTGTGTCTGTGGGTTAATTTACTCGCCGAACCCTTTGTCACGGGCGACGGGTTCGACGAAAACGGCGACCGGAAAATTCTCTATACATTCATTTATGCGTTAAAATAATAATTATTATACAGGAAGCACGGAGAACTATTCTAATTTTTTAAATTATTTTGAAGTCACATTCATTCATTCATTTCCATGTTAGCTTCGTTCGTGGTTCCTTATGACAAATGTACCTATTTAAATATTGTAATGTATGGCTTAATTTTTATATTCATTAGGTTCCAATATTACTGGAGTGTTAGTGTTAGTGCGCTCACTGGAATCTGTGTTGCGACCGCCATGAGAGAAACCGAAACCCGAAGGAAATGGAAGCTGATGGTTCAAAGAGCCACGAAGGGCTTTCAGGGACACGACCTTCAGCAATGAAGTATGCGACTAAGAAGAAGAAGAAGAATCGATAAGTACCTCGATCGCAAATCACCACACGAGAGAGGGCGGTCGAGGTCCGGCAGTAGGTCGGCGGGCGGGCGCAGCGTGCGCGGCCGCGTGGCGTCGTGCGGCATGCCACCCGCCAGCAGCGCCGCCGCCGAAGCCAGTCGGCGTGGCGGCGGCGCCAGCCCGTGTGCCGCTAACGCCGCAGCCAGCTGCCTCACCCTGGCCATGGCTACATCACGTTCGTGTCGTGCGCGCCATAACTGGACATAAAAAAGATCTTAATACATGTCGACGCTTGAAAGGCAAACGTGACTAAGCGACAATGCGTGAACTTTACAGTAGACTAATTTAAAGTTGAAATACCTGAGAAAAAATCTATTTTTTCGTTAAATTTTTTTCGTTCTAGCTGTAGGATTGAAATGATTTTATTAGACCTAGAAATATATTTTTTTGCGCATCGAATATGGTTATTGCCTATCATTTATGTACAAAGCAGTTATTGTCGCTTAGTCACGTTTGCCTTTCAAGCGTATCGATAGACATTGCCACTTTCTTTTATTGCTTAGACGAGTGGAGGAGCTCACGGCCCACCTGGTGTTAAGTGGTTACCGGGTCCCATAGACATCTACAACGTAAATGCTGCCACCCACCTTGAGACAAGAGTTCTAAGTTCTCAGTTGTAACAGTACGACGGCTGCCCCATCTTTCAAGCCGAAACGCATTCCTGCTTAACAGCAGAAATAGGCAGGGCGGTGGTACCTATCCGTGCGGACGGGTAGGTAGTAGGCGGTGGTAGGACGTCAAAAGACGTCCTATCACCATTTTTGTATATTTACCATGAGGGTAAAAATAACTAGCAGCTTTTGCATATTTAATTCCACACAAGAGTATTGTCGATACTTAAGAACGTGGACGTTTTAAATAGTTTACCCGCGACAGTTAAGATTTGTGGGCGAACCATTTGGATCGTCCATAGCATAAAGTTCTAAGGCAATAAATTTATTCGAACGGTGTTCTATGACAATTATTTCCACTCTTCATCATTATCAGTTGCCGCGGCCTAAAGGATAAGACGTCCGGTGCATTCGTGCTGAGCTATGCACCGGTGTTTGAATCTCAGGCGGGTACCAATTTTTCTAATGAAATACGTACTCAACAAAATGTTCACGATTGACTTCCACGGTGAAGGAATAACATCGTCTAATAAAGATCAAACCCACAAAATTATAATTTGCGTTATTACTTGTGGAAGGACCTCTTGTGAGTCTGCACGGGTAAGTATTCTGCTGCTTATTTCTGCCGTGAAGCAGTAATGCATTTCGGTTGGAAGGGTGTGGCAGCCGTTGTAACTATACTTGAGACCTTAGAGCTTATATCTCAAGGTGGGTGGCGCATTTACGTTGTAAATATCTATGGGCTTCAGTAACCACTTAACACTAGGTGGTCTGTGAGCTCGTCCATCCATCTAAGCAACAAAAAAAAATCATCAAAGACATCATTTAATTATACAGGTCCAGTTAATTTTTCATTCAATAGCTCTAGAATTAGAACTGTTTGGCACTGTTATTCATAACGTAGTTTTAAAGAAAATAAAGAATTTACTTGAGCAGCGCATATGGCGGAGCGACAGTGTCCACGTTCGCCTGTGCCTAATCCTCGAGCAGCCGCTTCGACTACGGCGCCGTGAAAAGTCAGAGATTGACCTGTTTGACCCCAGAAAGAAAGTGTGTTAAATTTTAATTTAGAAGCTTTCACCTAAATATGTATGAGAAATAAATAATAGTTTAAAAAAACTAAAAAAAATACGCTTTTATAGAAAATCCAACTAAAAAATAGAGAATAAATTTTAATAATAAATTTGAATTAAAAATAGTGTAAGAAAAATTGATTTTATTGTAATAAAAGTGTGGGGTGCATGGTATCAGTAAGTAGTTATAAATATTTTATGAAGAGATATGAGTAGAAGGGTTATTTTGATAATATCCTGAAAAGCACCCCACACTTGGATTTTCTATAAAAGCGTATTTTTTTTAAACTATTATTTTTCATTTTTTAGTTGAATTTCAATTTTTTCATAAATTTATTTAAATATTGAATTGTCATCGGTCCTTAATAAGTATGCCAAATTTTGAGTTAATCTGACGTTTTGAAGGGGGTCAAAATCGTGTTCAAAGATTCCGTTACATACTAACATGCATACATCTGAAACTAATAAAAGCGTATGATAAACATAATTAATACGCTTGACAATCCTTACCCATTGATAACGAAACTAGCGCACAACACGATCCAGCCTTTGAGGCCGCCAAATGAGTGCGCATGTATTTAAAATAGACATGTTCTAACAGGAGCAACAATGCTGCCAGCAGAATTCCTGCCATAAGTAGCAGGAATGCTGATAAGAATTGCTCCAAGGCCAGAGGATCTGAAGACTTATGCTCTTGTTTATTGGGCTTACACGTTCCAGTCATCCAGTACCTATAGAAACGAACAAAATATTTAAATGTATCTTTGAATAATATACCAGCGTGATGACATCGCCAACCGACATTTACTGAGGTAGGTGGTAGGTATTGCAAACTCGTATGGGTAGATACAACCATTCTGCCTAGTTCTGCTGCATACATTTCGATTTGAAGGGTGATTCAGCCATTATACATTTGAGATTTCGACCTCATGTCTCACGGTAAGTGGTGCCGTTCCTGTTTTCAGGTTTATTGGCTCCGCTAAGACCTTGGAACCAGTAGAAAAACAGGCATTAAATTTTTGTAATTAGTTTATCAGACGAAAAGTATTACCTTCGTAGTCTTTCAAGATCACCATTGGCTCGTAAATCTAGCAACCGTTTATTGAACATACTGAGATATTTCGAGTTCCGCGTAAACGCGAGGCCGTACCCGGACATGGCGTACCAAGCCCCTACCGTCAACAGTCTACAATCTTCGTCCTGCAAAATATAATAATGTAATTATGACCAATATCCATAGATATTAAACTAGTAAACATTCTTGAATACGCTATAAAACTTACTTGTGATACCAGATAATCCAATACAGTACCGTCATAAATGAATGCGTCAAGATCTCCCGTAAGTACGCTCGTCACTCCTGCGCTAACTGTACTCCGATTGTACCTAAAAATATTATGTTCATTACTCGATGGGCATTAAAGTGTCTTTTCAAACCTTGCGTTTAATTCCTAATCCTGAATTCACCTGGATATTAAAATGAGACGTTAATAAATAGATATCAAAGCTTTTAGTTTAAGATTTTGTTAACAGGACCAACACTCACCGAGCCATATAAGCGTGTGGTTCCGGGAAGTATTTAGCGAGCGTAGCATCTGTGTGTGACCACGGTACTGTGCCGAATTTTAATGGCGGACGCTGTGAGAGTGGTCTCGCGATCCTGGGATCGTCTAAGCCGCTTAATTCGTGGTATTCCTCGCGAGTTATCATAAACGCAGCCAAATTAGCTGTGTATATAGCCAGAAACACGACGGCGAACATTGCCCACATGTTGGTCATGAAACGAGCTGTGAAACCTCTAGGTGAATCAACGTGTACTGACGCCTAAAAGAGATTAATGTGTGAATAAAAAAATTTTACAACAAAAAAAAATACACGCTGCATACTTATTGTAAACATACTTGAAATAAAACTGCCCAAACAATCCAATACGTGCGACATAGCGAAAATCGATTCTGTGGAACACGTTTTGAGTTGCCAGTTGAGCAGTCGAATCCACTCGGTGACATCCATTCGAAGAAGAATATTGAAAAAGTAGCAGCTTGTATAGCTACAGCGCCCACGAGCATCCANAAAAAAAAATACACGCTGCATACTTATTGTAAACATACTTGAAATAAAACTGCCCAAACAATCCAATACGTGCGACATAGCGAAAATCGATTCTGTGGAACACGTTTTGAGTTGCCAGTTGAGCAGTCGAATCCACTCGGTGACATCCATTCGAAGAAGAATATTGAAAAAGTAGCAGCTTGTATAGCTACAGCGCCCACGAGCATCCATGAAGCAGTGTCAAAAGGTTCTAAGAAAGCCGTTGGGGAAATTATGCCTGTTCGTTTGGCCACTACAATTGCAACTCCGGTCTCCATAAATGGCACACTGAAATCTACTACGGCTTCCCGGTCCGAATTTATTATTAAGGACGTTAAAACCTGGAACATTAATTTGATGTGTGTTAAATTACGTTTCCTAGTCATTTGGTTGTTTTTATTAATTTTTAGTTAGACTAGTTATTGAGGAGACGGAATATTGTTATTGAGTTTTGAATATATTAACAGTTCAGGTGTAACGGAAATTAATTATGTACTGTCTGAATTTTGGCAAAATAGAGCGGTAAAATTTTATTCACGTAAATTTTGTATTTAAGTTATAAAAGGCACACCAAAAATCTTTTCAATATACTCAAATGTTTAGACACGGGATTACATACCTAATTATTTACGATTTTACGACTTTACTCACACGACATTTCGACGAGTCAAATGACCTGTTTTAAAAAAACTTGCTGCCATTTTGTATACTTTGTTAGCAACTTTACACAAACTTTTTTTTACATAATTTGTTAACATTAGTTACAGTTCTATTTTGTTTAGCCTGTTTCAAATAATCAACTTTTTTTAGTAAAATCATTGATTTCATTAATCTATAGTATTCGTAAGAAATTGTGATGGACGTGTTTTCAAACGATTTCGTCATCCTTAATCTGTCATCAAATAGTTAAGAATCGATACCATAGGATTAAAAGATAGGTGATTAATAACTACATACCATATCGGTTTTCTTGTTGACAAGATCCGCAATCAAACCGTTCCACTTGCCGTAGTGCAATGTGCCCCAACGTCCATCCTCGACGCGGACCAATTCATAGGTAAATCCGAGATGTTCAGCAAGTTGTTGCAGCAGATCTATACAGAATCCACTGCAGCACTGGTATAGAGAGCTATTTCCGTGAGCAGTACCGGCTTCGAGACTGAAATAATATTTCTATGAGTTAAACGGCCGTTACCAAAATGAATACTTCAGCAGATATAACATTGATTTTACCCAGCAACTTCTGTTTCCGGTGCGACACGGCATATCACACCTCTGTCTAAAGAGCAACGTCCACTAACGGGATCCGGTGGCGCTAAGTTAATATACGGTGGTTCTTCTAGGAAGGTTATGCGCATGTGGAACTTTTCTGGCACGCCTTGCGGTGGAGTATGTAGACCGCCAGGCCAAACAATGTCTTTGATGACGAGTCGTTCTTTCGGATAAGAGTTCCAAGTTCCGATTTCTTCCCATACCAACTTTGTAAATAATTATAATCACATTGAAACATGAGATTAGGATTGAAATGAAAAATGATGACTTAATTTATATTATTATGAATTAAATGCATAACTATATACTATAATATAAAAAATGTGAAAGTGTGATTGCTTATTTATGTGTTTGTCCTTCTCGAACGTCGAAACGAAGTAACAGATTGACATTATTTTTTAACTCCTAGTATTAGGTCACTAGTGACATAGGCTACCTTTTATCCCGAAAAAATATCTCATTCCCACGGGAAACTACACTGACAGTTCTTCACCATGAGGGCGAAGTCGCGGTAACTGCTAATTTATATGTATACTTATATATTACGGTTCAGGATCTATTACTTTTACTATTACTTTTATAAATACACATCTTCAGAGCGTAAGAGAATTGTTTCCGAAACTGATCGAAGTTAATTTATTAGTAGTTCATACATATTTCGTGACACCGTAATCTGGCGGAAGCGCTCATCCCTGGCATCACTCGAGAGTGTAAGATCCGTCCGTCAACTGAATTTATTTGTGTTACATTTCAGTGCCAAAATCTAGTCTGCCTCTAGTCGATCTATATTCATTCATTCAAATTTAATAATATTTTTCACCGGCGTTAAGGCGTTCCAATTTGAAAATGTAAAGGTACGCTTACTTAGGTCCGATGACCATACAGTATTTTTTTCTTTAACCTAGGGCAGTGAGGAAAAGAACGATTATTTTAATTTCAAATTGACGATAAAATGTGTTTTCTACATTTTTGAATCTATATTTAGTTTTGGTGTCACACGATTTCGTGCGAATTAAAATAACTGGTGAACTTAAATAACGGTACATAATATGATAATGCATATATTTTCCAGAATGTAAGCAGGAAATTTTCATATCCTGAATTATGTAAAAGCGGTGACAGCAACAGGATTCTTTTTGTTTTTCCTAAAATCGTTTGTTTCCGTCTCAGAAGACACGTAACCAAATATCACAATTATTTATTAATTAATGAAACCGAAATCAATTATTTGTACAAGCAAAACAACCATTACCTGTTCGCCTATGGCAGGTCTTAGATTCATAATTTTAAGTTCAGCAGCTCGTAATTCACCATCAGGGGTGAATTCGATGCTCGGTCTCCCTACTTCTCCTTCAACGCTGACATTCCGCAAATGCCTATAGAATCGCTCGCCTGTAGACCAACGTGCTTCGCCGGCTCCCGCCCCACTACACGATAGTCTAGTGCCCAGTGGGTAACGCACATTCTCAGGCTCGGATATGTACGACTCCACGCCGTAGGCAAATACTTTAACAGCGGTTGCTATTTCTGATATCAAAGAAGAACTCGACGTGTCGAAATGTACACCTATTTAAAGAATATCAGTTATTGACGTTATCTGCTCATTTCATTGAAAATATAAATGTATAATCGTTTCGTTTCATTACATTCACTGTTGCTTTACGTACCAAGCATGCCGACGGGAAATTTGTTGGGTTGTTGCATAGATCCTAATACACTTTGTGTAACGATCCACACGAAACTTTCGCCGGTAAGGTGTAAGTCTCCAGCGGCAGATAGTATTTCCGCTGCCTCTTCTCTGGTCGCATACAGTAACATCACACGCNAATGTATACCTAATCGTTTCGTTTCATTACATTCACTGTTGCTTTACGTACCAAGCATGCCGACGGGAAATTTGTTGGGTTGTTGCATAGATCCTAATACACTTTGTGTAACGATCCACACGAAACTTTCGCCGGTAAGGTGTAAGTCTCCAGCGGCAGATAGTATTTCCGCTGCCTCTTCTCTGGTCGCATACAGTAACATCACACGCGCTTCACTTGTGACCAATTCATTTAGATCTGATGACCTCTTAACGACTATTGCGTTAAGTATCGTGAATTTAAATCGATCCTGTAGTTTAAATTAAGTACATTAAGTAATATAATTGAGTATAATTATTAAAAATTATAAACTTACTACCAACCCAGTTCTTGCCGGAGACATGAATGCCCGCCCGCCTTGAGATGTGAGGTTGAAAATTTAAATCATACTTAGAACCAAAAACGGATGAACAAAACAGTAAAAAAAATCCCTCTCTATGGCACGTTAAAAGAGGAAGATAGCTTCATCGGGACAATATTTTGTTATGGAAAAAAGGCTGCTTTAAATTTGAGTGATTGACATCATACCAATTACCTCCGTACGCTTTGAATTCACTTTGTTCTTCGGGCGTAAAGAATTAATAACTGAATTCGATTTGAACTCGCAGTAAATTGTGATAAGTCGACTTGCCTTTATCGGATCGAACAAAAAGATTTAAACAACAAAAGCTGGTAGGTGTTTTATTTCATTTATATTTAACAATTAATCCACAAGACCAAATAGCTAGTAGGTACTGCTGGTATTTGAATTAAAATGATCTGGTCTCCACTCCAGGCTGTCTCAATTTTTGTCAAATATTTCAAAGGTTAGATGAAGATACGAATAGATTTAACTTTTTTTATTGCTTAGATGGGTGGACGAGCTTACAGCCCACCTGGTGTTAAGTGGTAACTGAAGCCCATAGACATCTACGACGTAAATGCGCCATCCACCTTGAGATATCAGTTCTAAGGTTTCAGGATAAGTTACATAGGATAGTTACTGCTTCACGGCAGGAATAGGCAGGGTGGTGGTACCTACCCGCGCGGGCTCACAAGAGGTCTTACCACCAGTAATTACGAAATTATAATTTAAGGGTTTGATTTTTATTACACGATGTTATTCCTTCACCATGAAAGTCAATCGTGAACATTTGTTGAGTACGTATTTCATTAGAAAAATTGGTACCCGCCTGGGATTCGAACACCGGTGCATCGCTCAACACAAATGCACCGGACGTCTTTATCCTTTAGGCCACGACGACTAACTCAATTAACATTTTACACAATTGGTTGCAGAACGCAAATTTTGAAATTCACTGATGGTACCTAATTGGAAAATGAGTATATGAAAGGTAGATACTATATCTAAATTGAAATAAAAGTTATCTCAAGAAAAAGGGAAAGGAAAAGGGAACTCAGATTATATATATTTTTTTAAAGAAATCTTGTAAATAACTCCTTACTTGTAGTGCCGTCACTCTTTCACGTACAGCCTGTATGAAATCGTCATGTCCGGCAATAGCTGAGGTGACGACGCTGAACTGATGCCATTTGTATCTTTCTAAAATAGAAAGCATCGCGGCTGTTTGATGTTCAATGGATGGGGCCAATTGAAGACGTAAAGAAGCATGTGACGCTCGCTTCTCAAGCCCGCTGTTGTCTGCATTCCATGCAATTACCTATAGATATAGATTATTTAGCAATTTTAAAATTAAGTGTAATAAAATAATGAAAAGTAGCTAGTGAAATATGCAAGATAAAACGCGTTTACCGGTATGCCGAGATACCCTGCGAGTTGTAGAAAATATTGTGCAGAGGCAGTAGAGCGCCCGTATTGTTCGTGATTCATAAGATAAAGGATAGCAGACACGTTGACTGCTAGAAATTCTTTACATAGCGAGTCCAGGATAGCTGAAAGCGTTAAACAGTCAACAGTTAGATTGCCGATAGTGATGAGGAAGTGAAGATATAATATAGCTGCGGAGTCTACTTTTTTAGAAATCTAAACTCACACATAGGACTAGGCGTCAAGCCTTGCGTAGAGAGCGTTATGTTCAGGCGCACTTGAGAAAAAAGTTTCAGTTTTCGCGGTAATTTTGATAGAGCAGCTTTTTCGGCCTTGGTGTAATCTCGTGTGCCAAANAGTTAGATTGCCGATAGTGATGAGGAAGTGAAGATATAATATAGCTGCGGAGTCTACTTTTTTAGAAATCTAAACTCACACATAGGACTAGGCGTCAAGCCTTGCGTAGAGAGCGTTATGTTCAGGCGCACTTGAGAAAAAAGTTTCAGTTTTCGCGGTAATTTTGATAGAGCAGCTTTTTCGGCCTTGGTGTAATCTCGTGTGCCAAATGCCTTATGTGGCACGACGAGAGCAGCAGTGATGGAAGAAGGAGCTCGAGGAGGAGGAGGCGCAGGTGAAGTTCGTGGACGCCTGATTCCGTCTCCGATGCGTACACCACTTCCACGGCCACCATCTCGACTACTGGCCATTCCACCACCGCTGCCGACTTTGATGCCACTGCCGCGCTCCGCCGCCGCCGCCGCCGCTAGCGCTCCCAGCGCAGCCAGCGCCATTAGAGCTGCATGCGTCTGCATCGCCTCTTATGATGCTGATAACAATAAAAAAATCTGATTAAACATATTTGATTTAAAAAAAGTACCTTTTTAACCTATCTTTTCAACTAACCTAAGCTAACCAATTTCTGAGCGGAATTATTACAGCATAAGAACGTCAATCCTACTAACGTTAAAACTTAAGAAGCACAGGGACGATTTAGCACTGTTTGCAATTTTATCAGTTACTGTTAATAGCTCAAAACGGAGAACAGTTTGTGTAGCTGCTATGTAATTCATATACTAATACCAATATTGTCAATGTTAATAATGTAAAAATGCTAAAACGTAAATTTAATAATATGGTTGGCAAACTTTTATTTTAGTCACGAATCAGAAAAAAAAATTGTAAAGAACATCATTACGTTATTTATGATATTCTTTTAGATCCAATCAAGATGACTTGCTTCATAATTTAATCTCCAGTATAATAATAATATTTTCACTTATAGTCAATTATCCTATAAATATATTTATATAATTTTTACGTATTAGAAAAGTCGGAAGTAATCAAATCAACATAATAAACGTAAGAATACCTAAAGTTAAATTAAGTATATATGTTACACGTTTTATTTCTATTTACACAATATCGTTTTATACTACATATTTCCATATACAGAGTATAATTTTAAGCCCCTTTAAATAAAATTATTACTTTCTAAGTACTAATAACTAGATAACTAGCATTGCATAACAATCTGTTGTATTTATATGGTTCTTATAAAGATCAAAATAATATAGTTGCGAACATAAATAATAACCACATAGCGGTTCTTTGCAAATTCACAAAATTCAGAGCACAAGCAAAGTTCTTATAAAATAAATTTCTTACTAAATTGGTAAGTAACTGGTTAGTAGTAGTACAGGGATTTTGGAAAAGCAAATGTTTCTTAATTCAAATTATCTGTATTATTCCAAATTTCGTTACAAAGAATGCATAAATTCGATTTTAATACGGTAAATCTGAATATCACCTAAAAATTTAACTTACTAACCTATCCTAATAAAATAAAGAAAGCCTCATCTCTAGAATACCTTATTTATGATAATACAGAATGACTACTGGGGACTAAAATCGATGTAACAAGCCTTACTGCTGTACTGTTTTATTAACTTATGTATGAATGTTTGTCTTTTCAAAGCAATAGATCATGTTGGCAATACATATTAATAATTTCTTTATTACAAGTTCGAATGGAATATTGGCATATACATGTACAAATACATATTTATGATGTCTCAAAATTTTGTTCCTCTTAACTCGTTTAACTCGAATTTAAAGATTTTTAACATTATCAGCAGTTTTTTTTGATAAATTGATATGCAGTAGATTTGCCAGATGGATTTAAATTTCGTATATTTACCTATAAGCGCGCAAGTTGGCGTTGGCGGCAGAGGCAGCGGCGGCGGCACGACAGGGCGCGTGCTGCTATCCACATATACTCAGTAGGCGGCGCGGGCCAACATGGGGTCGATCTCGGACGGACAGTAGCGCGGCACCGCGCCGCCTTTAACACGAGCTGCGTGTTACGCGTGTTTACGTAAGCGCCACGCCCCGAGCCACGCAATGGCTGTAAGGGGCGCGGCGCGAAGCGCTAGGCACCTCCAGACGCCGGACGCCAACTGACGCACCCTCATCCTCTGCGCGACGAATCCACCGCGCTTGCGTCCACATGATTACTATTACCACGCCTCCCAAATCCTGTCTTCTTACATAATATCAGGAATGAAAATCACGTACTTATCTTATTCGGGTATACATCGGTCTGCCTTATGGGCTTCCTGGCTTTGGCTACCAGATAGGCAATAATAACCGTAGGTTACGCAGTCGTCTTTACCATAATATGTCGCGACGAATCTGACCCGAGAAGCTATGGCTCTATCTGCGATGGCATGGGGCAGAGGTAGAATGAGTTTTACTTTTCAGACTTCATGACCCATGGCAAGAATAGGTCGAGGGGACCTTGAAATCCCTCTTGTACTATAGCCATATGTTTGGAGGTTAAGCTATTGCGTTGCGCTACCCCATGTCTTCTAATAATCGATCGGAGAACATGAACAAATGCAGAGGCTTAAAAACGGACATAACTAGGTCATCCACTTCCAAACACTTACGATCGGTTTGTATTGTTGTCTTATTTCTTATCATATTCATAATTTTTGCTGTACTCATTATCCTCATAGAATTTCCGCCATGATTTTAATCCTTATCATAATAAATTATAAACTATCACACTATCGTGGACATCATCGATACAATGGGGCACAGTCGTGCCGCCTACAGCTGAAAACTCTCCGCAAACCTCGTTTGAAGGACATGTCATAGCGCTTAGGAAAGACCGAGGAGAGTTGGAGTTCATTCCAAGGCTGGGTTCCGAAGATCTAATGCAAGAATTTAAGCAGAAACGACGAGAACGAAGTCAGAACATCTTTGTCACAGTAATACAGTATGTGAGAAGAGATAACTAAAGAGAGCTCAAAAATAAATCAGAAAAAGTATGTACTGCGATTTGGGATACATATGTTATGAAATAGTGACGCAGGGAGTACATACAGAAACCGCTGGAGTAGTGAAAATAATACGTGAACAACAATGCACAATAGATTTAATGATATTAACGTGTCAGGAATCCCAAGACCTTTGTTGTTATTGCACTCGTTTGATAATCGAGCGCATGAGTCTACTAATGTCCTGTGGTAGCCGAAGTTCATAGAAATAACTGTGTTCTTGTGTGTGTAAATAGCTGTGTTCATAGAATGCCGTGATCCAACTTGAGACTTAAGGTGGAAGTATGAATCGCATTGCATGTACATGCTTTAATGTTGGGTGCCCGACTGGCATGAGACTTAAGGATTGTCAGTTCCGGTATCGACCGGGGACGCGTATTTGCCGCTTGACAGTCTGGCGCACAACATTAAACTGGCGCCAGTTTAATATTGGGTGCCCGACTGACATGAGACTCTAGGGTGTCAGTTCCGGTACCGACCGGGGACGCGTATTTGCCGCTTGAGAGTCTGGCGATCTATGTTCTGGCGCGCACTACTGGGTGCAATAGATGCGCGGGCGCTTGGTGGGTCGTCGCGGCACGGACCTGAGTCACATCCCGTTTGGCTACTGTAGCCCCGCGAAAAGGGACGCTGCGTTACAATACGTATTTCCATTCCTACATCCTCCAAATGATAGTTTTTTTTTCTTATCTCTATAAATTATAACGTTTTTTTTTATTCATTGTGTTGAAAAATCATTTCAAATTTCACTTGATGAAGTTCAACTACTACTAGCATGTGATAAAGTATTTGAGTATAATAAAATTATAGAAAAGGGTATGTCATAGGATGCTCAAATCAATGAAACTGTTCGGAAGTTTTGCAGGAGGATTCTAGTGTCAGACATATTTTCTCTGTTTGCTCACTTTAACCCCAATCCAACAATCTCTTCTTCTTCCAATCCTTTACTATGCTGATATCAGCTAAGTTGAGCTCACTGTAGCAGTGTACTTGTGAGTAAACACATTTGAATGTCTTCTTTTTTTTATTGCCCTTTTAGGCGGACTAGCATACGGCTCACCTGATGGTGAGTGCTTACCGTCGCCCATGGACTTCAGCATGATTCATATTTGGTTTACGAAAGTATGATCGCGTGCCAATGGCTACCTATTCGTTTTCTATTTTATCCCAAAATATGCTTTGAGTTCATCTGTAACACACTGCATCATTGATCTCATAAAACATGCAATTGGTGATGCCAGTGCATTCTTATAGGTGTTATGATCACAGATTCATAGCACGTCACGATAATAACCTTATCGTTGCCGCCGCTGATTACTACCCGAATCCTGATCACGCAGGAGCCAGTCACCGTCGACGCCCCAGACACGTCCTTACGGATCCATCAGATCCAATAACCGTTGCATTAGACGCCTTTAGCTCTAGCACTAGGAGCAGGCACAGGGACTCCGGTAACCGATCTCGTCGAACTCGGCAAAGAGTTCGACGTGTAACCTAACCTAAACATCAGCCCGCTGAGATTCTCGCCGGGGTCGCGATTCCGGTCCGGTAGTAGATTCATTCGCGAAGCAGCTACTTTTCAGTTGTTAGGTCTCCTTTGGAGGCGCTCGGGTAGCTGTTCGCAAATCCCACCCCTCCTGGCTGAGCCCTTGCTCGTCCACCTGCCCTGATGAAACTAGAAAGACCTCCGGGCCACTAGTAAACATTCAATCATAAAAAAAAACACTTTATAGCTCAGCCCAATTGAATATACCAATGGAATATACTCCCAGTAGGTACGTATAGGACATCCAGAAACACCAGATGCTTCAAAAAATTGATTTTCCATTGTTTTTTTTATTTATTTGTGTTAGAATAAAATATCTAGTGTACCTTTAGTAAATTTATCGTATGTATTTATGTAAAATGTTTTTTAAGCGTCTATATTTTTTTTATTATATGGACATTGTTATCGTTGTGTTATTGTTATATTTTTTGGTATGGTGCTATTTCTGTGAAAAAAAAAATTTACGTACACATACTAAGATTTAGGGTTAAAGTATGAAATTGCCGATTTGTACGTACTAAAAAAATGAAATTTGTTTTTTTTTCATTGAACATATTTATTTAATCAAAATATCTACCATTGTTATCTATACATTGCTGCCATCTAATAGGAAGGTCATTTATACCTTTGCGATATAACTCTGGTGATTTACACTCTACAAACTGTGTGAAAGCATTTTGTACTGCTTCCTGGGAAGAAAACTTTTTATCACGTAGAAAATTGTACAAACCACGAAAAAAATCGTATTCGGTTGGAGCACGGTTTGGCGAATACGGAGGGTGACGAACGGTTTCTAATTGCAGTTCCTGTAGAATTAAAACGGTTTCTCGTGCTGTATGAGGTTTCGCGTTATCATGGAGTAATAATGGTGAAGATCGATTCATGAATCGGGGCTGCAAGTTTTGCTATCATTGTTCGGAGTTCGGCACAGTAGACATCCGCCGTTATTGCTTGACCAGATCGGAGAAAGCTATAGTGAATAACACCATGCTGAGAACAACAAACAGTTACTATTACCTTTTTATTGGTAAGCTTTGCTTTAGGACACTGTTGCGGCGTTTGACCTGGGGTCAGCCATTACATTTTTCTCTTACGGTTATCGTAAAGAATCTACTTTGCATCACATGTCAGATTTTGATCCAACATTCCTTCATTTCTGTATCAATTCAACAAGGCAACACAATTTTCAACACGAGTTTCTTTCTGCAGATCAGTCAAATCATGAGGCACCCATTTTCAGAATTTTTAATTTTATTCATTTGACACAAATGAGTCAATATTGTTGGTAAGGTAATGTTAAACCATGCCGCTAATTCCTGGGTAGTTTGGCTCGGATCGGCTTCCACCATCTCTTTGAATTCATTGTTATTCATATGTCTTAGATTTCCATCACGAAAGCGTTTAAAACAAAATCGCACGGTGCGTTCATTAGCAGTCCCCTCTCCAAACGCAACATTGATATTGCGAGCTGTTTCTGCAGCGTTAGTTCCGCGTCGGAACTCGTATTCAAAAATCACTCAAATTTTCGAAGTATCCATCTTTCTTGTCTAAGCTGAATAAAAAAAAGGGTGCGTGTACCTATGTACGCGCGTAAGAAGTTATACTTTATTTTTATAAAATTTATTTCTTTTTTTTAAATATTAAATAATTCATAATAAATATTTAACGTCAAAAAATTAATGCTAATAACACTTTTTTTACGAGTGTACATGTGCGAAAGTTCACCTGCGGCTATTCAGACTCGCCAAGTTACGTCGGTCGTATTGTAATGAACGATTTAGTGGGCAACTTCAATTCTGTTAATTTTGTGTCACAGTGCGCGCGCATCGTAAAATTTCACTCTCATCAATTTTTCATAACGCGCCTAAAGAAGTATAACTTCAAAAACAACTGAAAGTAGATGATCAAATGTTGAACATTTTTTAAAAGAAGAACCTCGAAAAAAGTTTCACTCAACAATCACACACCATGAAGATTCTAATTCAATTCGAATTACCCATTACAATAAAACGGCAATTTCATACTTTAAACCCTATTAAATAAATAATTTATTCAAATTTATGTATATAATTATAGTAATATTATTATACCATTTTATATTTTTTTCAAACTAAGTACACCGCGACTTTTCTTGTCCATTCGATGGTTGTCTGGAAGAGATCGTTCTCAGCGATAAGGCCCATTTACTTCTTGAATTTAATGTTTTGCATATACTTTGTTTTTTATTATTGTAATATATTGTACATAAAACATACTCTATTCAACTGATATTAAACAAAGGCGAACCAAAGTTTTGTAATTCAAATAAAATATTAAAAATAAAGGCGTAATTGTTTCAGGACTTTCAGATTAATTGAATTATTAACATGTTTTTATTACCTTGACCAGTATCTATCAAGGAAACGTCATCTAGGAAACAAAGTATGACATCACTTTAACTTGAAAGAACTTAAACATTGATAACGTCTATGAACTGTAAAACACTTAAAATAATTCGGTTAATATTTAGTTAAATAACTACATGTAAATCAGCGATTAATTCAAGTCATGTAAATAAAATCGAAGTATACAGGTATTCGATATTATTATCCATTATTGTTTTCCAGATGGCGTTATTCGTAGGTATCATGCAATGTTTGCGGTACTGTCCATCCATTTTGCAGCCTACTGATCGGTTATGAGAAGAGTTTTTAATTAGTACTTGAGACGAATATTAGAAGACTGCTGAAACTCGAGGCATGTAAAACAATGATTACAAGAAATGAAGTTTCGAATAAAACGACCCTTTAGGGAGTTTACCGGGTACTGACAACTGCTCGTTAGAAGATAGTATTGTGAGCCCACACGAGTAAGTACCACCAACTTGCTCATTTCTGCCACGAAACAGTCTGGAGTTACAGTTTGAAAATTAGAACATATTTCATTGTTTCACAAAAATGAAACTTGAGACGTCGAGCTCATGTCTCAAGGTGAGCAAATTTTACGATTTCCTAATTACCTAAGCCCCTGTGATACGAACACACCACAGGTTCATGATTTTATTCTTTAGTTCTGTACCTTCGTCTTTATTAAATTATTTGTTTCACAATTTAAAAAATTTGTAAATTGGTTTGATTGAAAGATAAACTTAAATTGCGGTCGAAAATTTTCATTATCAATTCCTGAGCAAAACACTTAAATGTTAGATGTCAGGCTGACAACAAAGTAGGCGACTAAGGGATTTTTTTTTTCCCGTACCCAATCCCCCAATGTTCAAAATACAAAAGCCTAGCTTCGCCAGTTTCAGGGAGATTGTATGACTTGGGACCTTCTTTTTTTTTTTTTATTGCCCTTGTAGGCAGACGAGCATACGGCCCATCTGATGGTGAGTGGTTACCGTCGCCTTCAGCAATGCCAGGGGCAGAGCCAAGCCGCTGCCTACCGCTTAATAATCTCCACAAGCCTCGTTTGAAGAAGGACATGTCATAGCGCTCGGGAAACACCGTGGAGGGGAGCTCATTCCATAGCCGGATGGTACGTGGCAAGAGATCTCTGGAAACGCACTGTGGATGACCGCAGTGCCTCCAGGTAGTATGGATGAACTCTACTCCGGTGGCGGGCGGTGCGATGGTAAAAACGAGATACTGGTATCATCTCGAACAATTCCTCAGAGCACTCCCCATGGAACATACGGTACAAAATACAGAGGGAACCGAAGTCCCTCCGCAGACCCAGAGGTTCCAAACGATCCGTGAGAATGGGATTATCGACAATCCGAACGGCCCTCCTCTGTATGGAGTCAAATGGAAGAAGCTGGTATTTGGGAGCCCTGGCCCAGAGATGGGCGCAGTACTCCACGCGAGGCCGGACTTGTGCTTTATAAAGCAAAAGCCTTTGTCCAGGCGTGAAGTACCGCTTCGCTCTGTTGAGGACTCCCAGCATTTTGGACGCCAACTTGGCTTTGCCTTCCAAATGACTCCGAAACTGGACATCGCTCGAAATGTCGACCCCAAGTATCCCGATACTCTCGGAAGGTTGCAGGGATNTTTGTCCAGGCGTGAAGTACCGCTTCGCTCTGTTGAGGACTCCCAGCATTTTGGACGCCAACTTGGCTTTGCCTTCCAAATGACTCCGAAACTGGACATCGCTCGAAATGTCGACCCCAAGTATCCCGATACTCTCGGAAGGTTGCAGGGATACTCCTTGGAATTGCGGCGCCATGACAAAGGGGTCCTTCTTCGCAGTGAACGCGCAGACTTGTGTCTTTAACGGGTTGAATTGAACCAAGTACAATTCACCCCATTTGGAGACTCGCCCCAGAAAGTTCTCCACTTCAGACACAAGTTTTGATCGTCTCTCTTGCACCACGCTCCGAGAGAGACTCTGATGGCCGATATATCGCGCATCCCCCGTGCTGTCATCCGCATAGCAATGCATACCATCAATCATGAGCTTCATGTTGTTTGATGATATAATATAGTTGTGTGCATTTATTGTGGTTTTTGTAATTGTTAAATATTAATATATACGATTAAGACAGCATGAACATTGATGACGGAAAAGCCATTAATGTCTAATTTATGAAAATATATTTTCTTTTGACAGCAGATGAAGTAATAAACCAATCTGATGATGGTTACAGACGCTTTCAAAATCTCGGTTTGCGTAGTTTCGTATTTCTTCTTTATATTTACTAAAGATGTGTAGCTCTTGAGTGAGTGATATAAAAGACATATATTACTCACACCGATATAATGTATCACTAACTCACACTAGCTCCGAATGTATCACTAACTCAGTTCTAGCTCACTAGATCACTATAGTAGAATTATTTTGTCCGTGCAGTTTGGGTCACAAAAAATCGGAGCGGTGCGGTGAAGCGAGTATTTCGCTCTCTCTTCCACCCACGAGCCTTATGGACGGGCACAGTGATGCGCATTATTGTTGTCGATAAGCGTTATCGATAGTGTATTTAGTTTTGTCATTTTGTGGGTTAGTGATAAAAATGAAAGAAAAAATCACTAATCGCACACTTACACCACATACCGCCGCAGCAAGTTTAACGAGAACGGCAGAAATTAACACTTTGTAACTTTTCGAGATCTTTTCTTATTTCAGTGAAAATTTTTAACACGTTGTTGATAACAACACGTGCAAATATTATTTTGAATAAATTCTGCCGTTTTGATACAAAACAAAGGAGTAGCCATTGTGTCACTAAAGAAATTCAGAGAACGAATGCATAAAAACACATTTCTCTTCGACATAATGTACTATAATTTGCAGGTAAGTACAAATGACTCATAACATAACAATGTCTCACCACCCTTCGTATACCACCCCGCCGCCGTGTACCTGCCTTCGACGACTCATTTGTTTTTATCGATAATGGCGTTGCGCCCGCGCAACATGCTCACCGCCCTAGCCGGGCTATGTTTTATAACCCATACTGCACGGACAAAATAATTCTACTTTAACTCATTTGTCTTATGAATGTATCGTGAATTGATGAGCGAATGAAAGAAAAAAGAATGAGTGAGATAGATGTATTGTGTGAATTTGTGTGGCCGGCTGACGAAAATGACCGTTCACTTCCCGCTAATTTCGTTTCGATATATTAGATTGTCAAGGAAAAATGTACATTATTTCTATAGGGGCAAAGCTTAACATAACTCATGTATGTTTAAAACTAAATTTATATTTGCTCTAGTCTTACATAAAAAGGTAGCCATTAATTTGCGAAGTTAATTGTTGGAATAATGCGATGCTATATAAAAAAATATATTTAAAAAAGTTTCTTAAAGTGTTTAGTTCTATGGTAAGCTGCATGTTGTAAATATTCAATGTTTAATCATAAAAGAGTGTAAATAAACTATATTGTGTATTAGTAAGTGTATATAATATATAGGCCCTGACAGTTACAAACTGAACTGAACATTGTAAATATTCCAATACAAAGTGAGTGATATATGTATACTGAACTAAATGATCAAGATGAAGAAATGATTTAATTGAGAGACCAATCAATTGAATTGGATCACTGAGTTAGTGAGCTAAATGAGTGATAGATACATATTATTTCGCTCTAAAGATATATGCATACATTTTGCGCATCATTAATATTTACACATATAGGGACTTGTTTTTTTGCTGGTCTTGCTTTGCAATCTCGCGCTTTTAAAATATTTTAAATGTCAATTAGTTATCAATGTAGAAGTATTAAATATTAAATCAATTGACAGTACATAACAAATATAAAATCATTTATAACATTAGCTTCTGTCTAAAAACCTTTTATGTGGTAAGCACTTCACATATCAATTTCGTGGTTTAATAATTCAATACATACATGCACTGCAAACATAATGCACCTGTGTGCATATAAAAATGTTACACTTGCATAATGATTGTCTAATTATTACCATTCATATAGAAATGATCATCAGATAGATGCACTTTATGTAGTCTTGGATCCCAATGGCCAAGTCTTTGTCATTTTTTACAGTACAGTATTAACAACAAAATAAAACATATCTAATTGATCAATGGAAACTATGGGTATATTCATGATTGTTAACCTATTGGACTTCATTATAAAATGTAGTTTAATTAAAGTTCAAAAACGATTTATTTCTTTGGTTTTCATTGAGTAAATTGTATCTAAAATTATTTTTAATACAGATATCACAGATACTTTTTGCAACTCTTCAGTTGCTATTAAAATTCTAATATGATGGAGTTAACCTACATTATCATGTATGACCTGAAAAAAATCACACATGTCCATTTAAGTAAATTGTCTTTTGGCCAGTTAAATAAACACAGCACATTCAAAGACCCATCAAAATAATAATTTCAAAATCACTTCAATATTCTCACTTCGAACCCATTTAAAAAAAATGTTCAAAGCAAATGGTTGTCCGTGTATAAAAGTTCACAACACTTATTCATGAAAAAAGTTCACAGTTCTAGCACAACTTTTTATTTAGTAATAATAAAATAGATCAATACATGGACGTTAAAAAACTTAGCGTCGATCACGATAAGACCTGCTTGATTCACGTTCACGACTTCGCCCCCGAGATCGATCAGCAGTTCGCCATAAAAATTCATCTACTGACCGTTCATAAGATCTTTTATCATAAAGAAGAACAGAACGAGGATATTCAGCAAGGTCATAGTAGCGAGGTGGAGGTGGGGGTGGAGGTGGTGGTGGTATACCGTCATATGGTGTCAGAGCTCCACTGAAACCTGGAGGAGCAACATATGGTAACGGAGGCAATTGATGATGCATGGATCGCATATACTCTGCTACATAGGCTTCTGCAGCTGCTGAACTTGTATTATTGTAACTTTCACGATTACGTCCAAACCACATTGGAAAGCGATCCCGTAAATATGGAGAAGGTGACCTTCTTTTATAAGGGCCTGTAACTCGATTTCTGGGTGGTTGGTATATCTTTCTCCTATTTCTTGGACCTAATCTATGTCGAAATGATGAGCCTCTAAAAGCCAATGGGGCACGATATGTTCGATAGTTACCTCCACTTTTAACATATGATTTTTTTGATGCCTCTTTAGACTTCCGTAAAATAGGAGTCATTTCAATACCTTCATCTTCCGAAAACAGCCTACATAGCTCTTCTGCAACTTTTGGTTCTATTTCTTGCCCATCTCTTCCAATTTTGACGGGCTTACCTTCATTCCATGGGTTGTAAAGATGCAAGGTACTATTAAATGACAATTCTTTTCGACAAATCCAGTCAACTTTGAAAACTCCATCAAGTACTTTGGCTGAAAGGCCTGGGGGTAGCACCCATGATATTGGTGGTACATCTCGTCGTGATTCACTTCCTAACCGAGCAAAACCAGCAAATTTCCCACTCTCTTTGACCGAAAATATTAGCAATACATTGCGAGACTCTCTGTATGCTTGATTCAAATTGGCTTCATTTTGTGGTAAAGTGGACCACACTCCTCTTGCTTTTGAAAGTGTTATGTTTTCTGCATTATTCGATTTTATCAGGAAAAATCGTGTGTCTCGAAACAAGTAGTTCAATTTTGTCATATAATCGTAGGTTTTCACATTTGTTGTGCTACGGACACACTTGCGCTTTCTTCCTACAGGCGAACGACTTTTGGACTTGGAACGTTTGCGGATCACACGACTTTCCTTGGATTTAGTGCTGGCAGAACTTATGCTTGGTGAACTTGATCCACTTGATGAAGAACTAGATACTTCACTGCGTGTATCATAATCTTTACCTTCCTCTAACTGTTTGAGTTCCTCTCCGATTTCTGCTTCCACTTCACCAACACCAAGGTTGACGGCGTCTGTGTTGTTAGAGGTCTCCATCTTCAAAACAGTATTGATATTGTGATAGTTTAAACACTAGGGTTGAAATCTTGATTTTATTTCCGCGAGAATGATTTTTTATTTATTTATTAATCCACATTGTAGAATCAAAAGAAAACAATAAATATACAAGCTAACCAACTGATTTACGACAAGTATTACCGTACATGAAAACTAATACCCTACCTATTTAAACAAGCTAGTAGTGGTGTGCGGAATTGATTATCAATAATCGATTAATCGATTATCACGATCATCATTTGCAATCGATTTTCTTTTATAAAATCGAAGTGGGACCATTTTGAGCCGAAGAAATCATATTTTCAACTGAGAGTATTAAAACATTACGACAATACTTAGAATTGCCTTTACTTGCAAGAACAAACAATCCTCTACAATATTGGAAGAGTATGAAAACAAATAATCCTTATCTGTACAAATTATATTTAAAATATTCGTGTATCCCAGCTACCTCCATTCTTTCAGAGAGTAGATTCTCTAAAGCAGGTCAGTTGACAAATTTACAAAGGAACAGCCTGCTGCCAAAGCATCTCGTTTACATAATTTTTTAAAATGCTAACTGGACTCTGATTGGAAATTTGATTTATTTCTTTGATTTTTAATAAAAAATTGTTTATTTTTCAATAATTAAGGGATTACGTTCTGTTTTTTATAATCTAGAGAAGCTGTCACAATTTTTATTTCGAAGTAATAATCAAACCTAATGGATTAATAATCGATTAACCTCCGATTGCATAATCGATTGATCGATTAAATAAATAATCGAATTGACACCACTACAATCTAGCGATTATTGTTTATTAGTATATAATCTATGACGGAGAAAGGCACAGACAAAATATTTGTTTATACCTATTCTTTTTGATGAACAAGGCAAATCGATAGCTTCGAATATTACATTAATCTGGGGTATGCATTAAATATGTAGGATTAATTGATAAAGTAAAGTTGCTATTGCATAGCTTTTATCGCGGGCCTTGAGCGCGGCGACCGAATCATGAAATTCCGTAACGAAAAAAACCTAACACCCCTCACTCCGCCTACCATGTAGCTCGCGTTCAACACATTCACACTTTGCGCTTGTGTAGTGTTTGTGAATAAGCACGTGGCGTGACGTCACACTGCATGCGCATCATGAAAATCTTCCCATCTCTCTCTCGCATGGTCTAGCTTATGAGTGTGAAGGGGACAGTTAATGTTTTGCTTTTATTAATGTTTAATATAGCGTGGTCTTGTTTTATTATTGTTTTAATATTAAATTATCAATGTCTAATTATAATTGCGTAAGTTGATAAAAAATGCTATGCAATAGCTTTACCGCGGCAGTTCCCGAGTGCCACATGTTTGCTGTATTTTTAATTTGGTTCATTTTAAATTAACGCTTATTTTCTAGCTTTATCTTTAAATATCTTTTGATCTGTTTTTTTTAAACCAAATTGTCTTGAGATTCAGATAGCTTCGCACCTTGATGATGGAGACTATTATGCTAACAGAACTGTGTCTTAAAGGCAACTATCACCAGCATAAAATATTTCAGTTTATTACTATATATATATGTGTATATATATATGATATATAATACACAATTTGTATTTTGTTATTTAACAAAAAATAGATATAATCAATTAAAAAATCCTTACTCTTCCACAAATTCCACTAGCTTAGCAATTACAACTACTAAAATTAATAATACTTACGTATTACAGTCATGTATTACATTTTAAACATTAAATACATTCGACGGCTATCCTGCAAAAACGGGATTGAATTACTTGGAAATCTTGGAATGATTTTAAGTTATTGCGGGCCACGTGAGCAAACACTACACAGTTCACTCAGACCTCGAATAGCATATATGTATATCAATAAAAGATGATTATGGTGAGTGATTCAAATTTGGATCCGTAATTCAAGCAAAAGCGTTACAAAGCACTAAAGTACCTATTAAAGAAAATTGAGACTACAATTGACCTCGTTTTTTCAGATATGCATTATTAAGCTGTGATGTTTATAAACGCTAAAACCCTAAAACAAAGATTGAGTTTGAGCTCGTTTTTCCATCTTTCCAAAAAATCTAACTGTATGAGTGTGTATGATCCTTAAGTTTGACAAGTCATTCGTCAAGTCAGGTGATTTTTTATCTTAATGTTGGTAGTTAATTTAGATTGAAAAAGCCGCGTAAAGTTTTCGTGTTTTTTATGGATATATTGTATTGAAATTTATTTCCTAGAAATTGAATATACTTTTGTTACTACGAGAACAGCTTCTAATTAAGTCAATAATTTTCTCTTAAAATGCACTACGTTCAGAAGTATTTAGAAAAACTACCAATCTCCAAATCAAACATGAAAACTAACGAAGGCAAAAAATGTAGTATTTTTCTTTATTGTAATTATTACAGTTTTTACTCTCAAAAGGTATGTAAATTTCTATGTATTGAAAGCAAACAAATATGTTATGATAACTTCCATGATAACTGATAAAACAAATTATATTTTGCAGGTTTTAATGGCTTTATACGAAAAGAATATAGATTTTGAACCCTTAATTGTTGACATAACAAAAGGAGAACAATATTCTTCTTGGTTTCTTGAAATAAATCCTCGTGGAGAAATACCAGTTTTGAAAGTGAAAGATGCGTTAATTCCAGACTCTACTAGGATTTTGGACTATCTGGAATTTTATTTAGACTCTGGTATAATAAAATTTTAACACTTATTAAGATTAATAAATTGCTTCAGTGATTTGAAAATTTTAAGTTATTAATTTATGATAATACATGATTTATTTTTTAATACAGAATATATTTTCATTTTATTAAGTAATGCTAAGTAATAAATACTGTATAAATATAAATAATGTAATGTAAGTATAAACAATAGTCATCTAAAACATAGCAAAAATTAAAATATATCATATTAATTACTATTTCAATAAAGAAGTGCTCAACAAGATTGTTACAAATAATTGTTAATGAAAATTATTCATTTTAGTTATATTATTCAATATGTAGTGATAAAATTATTTTTCAGATTTGGTTCCACTCATAAATGTTTCTAAGGATACAAAAGTGGTAACTACCATAAACAAATTTCGAGAATTGATTGACGCTTTGCCTGCTGGAGTTATAACAGTTGGTTCATTTTTTCATCCACATCTCTGCGGTAGTCCAAAGCTTCCATTTATTTTGCCAGTAAGAGAGATTTTAAAAAGTAAGTGGATAAACAACAAGGTCTATTTTTATACCATTTTATTTTATAATTTACTATTACAGGCTATCTCACTATACCATAAACTGTATTTAGTTTTTTGAGGATATTTATTATTACTTTGATGCTACTTATAAGTTTTGAATGTGTTCTCTGACTTAGCAATATTGGTTTCAAATCTTTGAGTATCTCATAACCGTTTAACTTATGCTGGTTTGCCAAGAATCAAAACCAAGGTATGGGATATTTAGCCTGCTCTACCAGCTTTATAAATTAGCAGCTGCATCTATCCAGGTCCCCATAGATGTTTCTGTCGCATACCTCTTAAATCGATGTGATTCCCTAGACAGGAGTAGCTACATGGGCTGTGTCAGAATGAGTATTCCGTAAATAACATGGTAACAATGTTTTCCCTGATCTCCCATAAAATTTCACTAAATGGGAGCATTCTAAATCTTTCGTGGTTCTCAGGAAGAAAACTAGTTTTCACTAATACCTAATCTACTTTGGTGTTACGAACGACCTACGGCGCAATTAGTAACACGCGCATATGCGATCGATACCTCCTCGAAAGAGTGTTGAATCAACTTTTTTACATGTAAACCATGAAAGCCTGTTTACAGGGTGGCTCATTTTTATTACTTTCTTTCGCTCGTCAGTAGTGATGAATTAACACAGAGAGGGACGAGCTTTCTTTTTGTTCCTCGCCCAATTATTCCTACGCGCCATAAAACAGCTTGGCTGTGCTTCTGTTATTGATAACGTCCAGCTGGGACATATACTCGTCATGTTTTGAACGCCATAAAAACTTAGTTTTGTTTTTTAAGAAGTATCGTGACGTAGTAACATATAAGTTAGTTTGTAACGCCACCTTTTAGTCGGCATGCTTTCGATGGAGGTAAGTTACCTAACTTGCGAGTTTTTAGGGATTCTTTAGCAGACATTTTCTTAACATAAATATTGAACAAAATTTACTGTTTTATGACAGTATAATGAGAATTTCAAGAAACAAGTTTATTGTGATGAACTCTTTTGACATTTGTGGATATGTATTGGATAAATTGGATTTGTACTCAGTGTGACCATCTCTAAACTATAGATCCTGCCTTACTTTAGTTGAAAAGCTGCCAAATCCTGCCAACGTCTAGTAAAAAATACCTAATTAATGACAACTTTATTAACCGTTGTAATAAACCAAGAAAAGTAAAAATACAGGAGTTTCATATTTTCACATACGCTCTTTCATATTTTCGCTTCATCACCACCACCACTAATAATAAGTATATCGCCGAAGAAATGTCACTAACAAGATATTAATACCTTAAAATCTTAATCGAATCTATCTATAAGTATGTCTCTATGACTGATTAAATTGAAATATAAACCGTAAACTCGTGTTAATGAATACTCGTTTCAAGATTATCAACTTTCTAAGCAATGTTTTAAAGTTGTTAATTGAATGTGATACGAATATAGCACAAGTATGGGGAAATCCCCTACATGCTCACGAAGTATCTTCAGGGTTGTCATTTTTTACATTTTATTGTGTTGCCATAAGGAATTTATGTTCTTTATCCCAATTCCCAATATTGCCAAAAACTGCCAGAAGCTAAAATAAGAGTCCAATCCTGCCAAAATGGCAGGATCCTGCCACATATGGTCACACTGTTTGTACTCTGCACTTTGACATCACTAAAATCACGGTCCGAGTGTTGCCATAAGTTGAAATTTGTTTTTAATAGAAACGTTTGTAAATGAAAATCGTATTATCGCTTGGTACTTTATAGCTTTTGTCCGACAACCTCTACAAGCCCTCTTACTGGCTGCTAATAGCTTGCGGAGGTAAAGGCCTGGTAGGTAAAAGCCACATTTGTAGTAAACTTAATATCCGATGTCCTAGTGTTTGTTCTAGCTTCATTGAATGTGAACACTTCTGAAATGGACGGCAAAAGCTGATTTGTTTCCATATTTATTGTTACAATATAAAAATATTATCTTTCTCCAACATAAATAGTTGTCACATAAACATATGTTGAATTCAAAAGTGATTAGCGCTAGAAGCTGTGCTGGATTTCAAACCTCGCGAAGTCGTATATTTTACTTTAGAATCTTTCTTTTTCTGTATCTGGGTGACCGCCACCCACTTTGAAACATGAGGTCAAAGTCTCGTTTATTCTGTTTAAAGACTTCCCCACTTTCGGATGATTAATTCGCAGCAGAAATAGGCAAGATGGCGGTACATGCTCTCGCGTGCTTATAATACGCCCTACCTCAAGTAAGAATACAAAATTTATAGACGAGGGAGTTTTTATAACAATGTTATTTCTTCATCGTTGCGGTTGGTCGTGAAATGTTATGTTCCTTTTTTCTCCGAGTAATAAATGGATTTGAACACGGCATATTTGAATAGCTCGATACCATTAACCTGGGCGTCTTATTTTTTACAACACGAAGACTTCAAACTTTGAGATAGCGACAGCTTCAAAATGATGTTCATTTAAAATGTACTTATGTATGTAATGTTATGTTTTCAGCTGGTGATTTGAGTAGCTCACAAAACTTGAGAAAGTTGGCGGATGAAAATCCAAAAGCAAAACATATCTTGCTGTACAAAGCTGAGATTCAAGATCGAAAACACGAACTTCTGAGTAATGAAGAGGAATATTTAAAAATTCTAAACATTGTTGACCAAGTTCTGAACCAAATAGAGGAGCAGTTAAAATTACAACCTGTCGGTAAGATCGAAATAATTTCATACAAGATTTCTTAGCTACTATTGCAGGCAATACTGATATCAAGAGCCGTTTTAAACGTTCGCGGCCACTTAAATAATAAACGTTAGGTACTATTTATCATTTTACAGTTACTCACTACGATTTTCACATTTCTCATTAAATAATGAGACACCGATATTTCGGAATGTCGAATGACCGTGTATATTGTAGACTGCGGGTAGGATGTTTGAAGCAGTCTCTTTCTACCCTTTTTCTAGTATCTGGATTCCATTCAGATGATAACCTGAAGCCATTACCCCGGTTGTAGTTTAAGTATAACCTCGTGGGGAAAACTTGTCAAATAATAGTGTTTATAACACAAGACATTGTATTCAAATATCTATAGTGATAGCGAGAACATAAACGATTTTCCGGGAAGATAAGTCATTGTTGTTGGTGTAAGGAAGACGATAAAAATTGCTTTGTTTGGGCGCCAATCTTTATACGCGTCTTTTAAAAACTTTATTACTGTACACCTGTACAAGTTGCACGGTAGGCAGATGAAAATGCTACTTTATGGTCTACTCGCAGACTCATAACACATAGGATCTGCTGCTATCTGAGAAGGTGATGTCGCATACTCGAGCTTGACGTTACATATCCGACCCAGACGACGTGGCAATGTGAAGCCGTCATCTCCCGAAACTTGTCTTGTCGGATACCCGGGATCCACTCTCGGCATTTTTGGGCACCGGTCACCGTCCTCTTCGATTACCTACGACGAAAAGTTTGACAAGCGAATTACCCATAGACACAGCCCACTGAGTTTATTCCCGGATATTCTCAATGGGTCGCGATTCCGATCCGGTGGTAGATTCTGCGAAGCACTGCTCTCGCTAGGGCAAAGTCTCGCAGGTTGAGCCCATGAGTTCACCTACCCGTCCGCTCGAATCTGGAATAGCCCCTTAGGCTACCAGCGAATAGATAGAGAAAAAAGGGCTTGATATTTTTTTTTATTGTTTAAGTGGCTGGACGAGCTCGCAGCCCACCTGGTGTTAAGTGGTTACTGGAGCCCATAGACATCTACAATGTAAATGCGCCACCCACCTTGAGATATAAGTTCTAAGGTCTCAGTATAGTTACAACGGCTACCCCACCCTTCAAACCGAAACGCATTACTGCTTCACGGCAGAAATAGGCGGGGTGGTGGTACCTACCTGTGCGGACTCACAAGAGGTCCTACCACCAGTGAGTACGCAAATTAAAATTTTTGCGGGTTTGATTTTTATTACACGATGTTATTCCTTCACTGTGGAAGTCAACCGTGAACATTTGTTAAGTACGTATTTCATCAGAAAAATTTGGTACCCACCTGCGGGATTCGAACACCGGTGCATCGCTACATACGAATGCACCGGACGTCTTATGCTTTAGGCCACGACGACTTCGATAAATGAAAAACTCACGGCCCATTTGGTCTTAAGTAAGCTAACCAGAACCTATAAACATGACAATGCGAATACTACCACCCACCTTCAAACATAAAGTCAGTCTGTTTTGTAGTATAACGACTGTCGCACCCTTTAAACCGGAATGAGTAAATGCTTTGCAGTAGAGATAGGCAAGGTAATAGTATCTACCCGTGCGAGTTTATAATAAAACAAGTCTTAATTTTTTTTACTGCAGGACTTATATTTTGCTTGTGGCAAGCATTCGTGCACGCTTTATGTAATTTGGCACCATTCTCTGTGATTTGAATCATGATCGGTACATTTTCATTGATTGATACGAATAAACCGGGCGTTTTATCATTTAGGTCACGAAGATATCTGGTGTAATTAATTATTGATACATTGACCTTGTGAAGAGACATGTCGGTATAGTTAAGTATATTAAATACAGGGTTGAGTAAGCGGTTAACCTCAGATAGGTTAGATAGTATAGGATAGATGGTTAGATAGGACCACTAAATATTCTACAAAAAAACTGGTAACTGTCACATCATTTAGTAAAAATTTATTTTATTTACAGGTAATTGGTTATGCTGCGAAAATTTCAGTATTGCAGACATAAATTTGGCTGTCCTCTTGCAACGTCTTTGGGAATTAGGATTAGAAACACGTTTTTGGAGTAACGGAAAGAGACCCTTGATTGAGAGCTATTTTGAACGAGTACGACAAAGAGAATCATTCAAAAATACTATTCCAAATTTGCCACAGCACCTTAAAATGATAGTTACGGCTCCACCTCCAGTTTATGTTGGTGCTGCAGGTGCTGTTTCATTTGCTGTGGTATTTACCGTAGCATACATTTTTAAAAAAATTATTTCGTAATACTTATCACTATTTAGATTCATGTTATGATTTTTATTCGCTTTGCTGATAGCAATAAATATTGAATAGCTTTGATTATTGTCAAAGTTAACTGAATATTTTAGTATTGAAACAATTCAGTGCTTTATATTATGTAATCTTTTATATCAGTAAGTTAATATTACTCTCAAATCTACAAATCCCAAAGGGTTTAAGATATTATTTATGGTGGGCAGTGGCTTGACTGTGCCCCTGGCATTGCTGACGTCCATGAGCGACAGCAGCCATTCACCATCAGGTGGGCTGCAAGCTCGACTGCAATGAAACTATCAGTATTAATCAGTGGTAAACTTATATAAATTAAGTTGATATTAGAAAATAGTTGAAGAAGAAATATATAATAAAATAAAAAATCCACATGGTGTTTTATTCACAAAACAAATCATTGCAATAAAACATTGACATATAACAAATGTAAAATTAACTTAGATCTAATTTTTGAATCAATAAACAAAAAATTCAAATCAAGTAAATTATAAAAGATTTTACTGTACAGGGTGACATAAAGCTTAACATGTTAAGTAATTCTCAGAGTTGACACATGAACATGAATTCTGTCGTATATTGTATTATTGACTATTGTACCGCTCTTCAAAAAGCAATCACAGAACTGCTTTTTGAAGATCTAGGGCTGTCAGTGCAGCACAACTAGCAGAGTACAGAATAAGTTCAAGTATTCTAAACCAAACCAATGTTCATTAACAAAAATGTATTAAGGAGAGTAATCAATAAATTGAATCCGTTTTTATTCATAAGTCACTAGTGTTGTAATTTGAAACTGTCCACCTCAGATTTTAAATATATTTTCATTTATAATTATTCCAGTCCATTTACAGCAATAAAAGCCCCTTCCTTGTAATGAACATTCACAAAATCACAATTCTCAAGCTTAATTAGGTATTTCCCAAACCATTTTTCCAATTTACACAAAAAATCCATAATTGGAATTGAATATCATTAAGTGTCATCTTGATTTGTAGAATCAACACTATTTTGGTTTTTGATAGGCATACCCATAAAATGCTTGCCATTTACAGAACTCATCCTTTTAAGGTATACCGGAGTTGGTGCCTGTGCTTTTCCTTTATTGTATTTAAAGACACCTTGCCCAGGTTTATTTGGTAAAATATATGGAAAGGTGTACCAGACCCTGTACGTTACAAACCATGTCAATATGGCTATTACTCCACTGATGAACTTTTCTACCATAATATGGTAATAGAGTATAGTTGAAACAAGCATAACATCCCATAGTAATTGTAATGCAGCAATGCCAATAAAAAGTCCTCTTACGTAAGGTGTAAATTTCTCATAAGATCGTTTTAAAATCTCCAATTCTTCACTACTTATATTTTTAAGTGGGTTTGTACTGATTGCTTTGTCATCAATACTCCGTGAGTATCTTTCATCTCTGATGTAATCTTTAATGCGCTCCCATCCATTTATTGCTCTGGCTTCTTCTATTAAAACTAAACTTGAATATATTAAAATAAAACAATGACCTGATATGTCAAACCCATTCCAAAATGATCCATTTTTCAGACATGTAATTTTGTTATCATATGATTTTGAATTACACCGTCCATAATTATTTTCAATAACATTGAAAAGTGTAGTCCATCCCCACCAAAACACAGTGGCAATTAATAATCTAACCATGTGAGCGGTGGCAATCATCCGTCTTTTCCCGCAACATGTCGTATACGATGTTAATAAAACGTAAGGCACGGTGATAACTAATGTCCAAAACCACCCAATTTTGACGAAATATTGATTAAAAAAATTATCACTTCTCGAGAAATAAGATTTTGGAAAAGTGAGCACATCAGCAATTAGTGATAAAAGAAAAAGAGCACCCAAATACAGTGCTATTTTTAAATTTGTGTCAAAGAAAAGTATCTTCTTACAAATGTGCACTATCATTAGAGTTAGTACTTCTTGAATTGATGAAGCTTCGCGTGTTGGTTTTGTTCCTTTTGGTTCAGGTGAATCATTTTGTGCCCTGTAATTCATACGTGTGTTTTTGAAATTTGTTCGGCTTGTCATGTTTTCTTTTAAAGATTTACGTTATTTTTACACTATTCGTTTCCTACATTTCCATTATGCTATTTCACTGTTACACACACACGCTAGTTGGGTACAGACTAGGCAATGATAGGTATAGATAATACACTCATTACATTTGATAAGTGTCTATGTGCATTATCTATGATAGGTATATGACCGGTTCATACTTCAGTGGACCGCGCCGGTTACAGGTGAACGAAGTTAGCCCCTCAAAAAAATTTCTTTTTCCTGTTTTCTACTTATTTTCTATTAATTCATTTGTTCATCATTTGTTCTTAATTGTTCACTGTTAATAATTATTTGTTCTGCATTTATTTATTTTAAAAGAATTATTAAAAATATATCTACAAGTTAGCCCCCCAATTGCAATTTTTAAAATTTTTTCGTCCTTAATGACTCGTAAATATTCATTTTCGATTGTTCTTATATAAAATACGTTTGTTCTCTTTCGAAATTACTCATTTTTTGTTTAATTAACTATTTGTATTAGTTGAATAAATGTATGCAAAATATGTGTACTACGCATGCGTCAACTATAATGCTTTGGGGAAGTTTGGGGAAGTTTACGACGAAAGGAAAATCTTCCACCGAGCGGGTGATATTGCTCGGTAGACCGACGGTCCGAATGTTGTTGTTCGGAACTTGTATATATGCGCTTTATCTTGAAAATGTCGTAAGCGAGATTCAGGCATCTGTCAATTATCTTGCGTTGTATGATGGCTACCCGCCACATCACTCCCCTCCGAGACTGGAGGTCGTGTCATATTTAGTTATCGTTGTCCGTGCTGAGATTAGCTTGCAAGTGCCAGTGCTGCTCGAAGTTTGCGGTGAGTCGAAACTGAGCTTGAATGCTGCGTGATTGTCGCCAGTGCTGCTCGAAGTCTGCGGTGAGTCGAGACTGAGCTTGAATGCTGCACGATGAGGCAGTGTAGGTGCGTGCCGTAGGGCCAGGAAGCGCGGTGAGTCGGCTGCGATGGTCCTGTTGAGGCTGCGAATGCTGGCTTGCTGTGGGACGACTGTCGATGACTTGCTTTTATCTGCGAGAATGCGGGGATTGTGGTAGCCGAAGTTTTTGATGCGCTGATGATGAATCAGAAGGTTGCGATTGTTCCGTCGCAGGTCACCAGTTTGGGGAGGTATACGACAAAGGGAAATCTTCCACCGAGCGGGTGATATTGCTCGGTAGACCGACGGTCCGAATGTTGTTGTTCGGAACTTGTATATATGCGCTTTATCTTGAAAATGTCGTAAGCGAGATTCAGGCATCTGTCAATTATCTTGCGTTGTATGATGGCTACCCGCCACAATGCCTAAACTTTCTACGCGGTTTTAATCGTGAAAAAAAAAAACAATAATAATTGGTATAAATAATTGGTATACAGTTTAATTATAAAATAAATAAATGAAATAATGTGCATTCGCGTAAAGTTAGATCAAATACAATTTTTCCATCCTCCTACCTATCGTTATGAAGGTATAAAAAAGATAGGTTAAGAGTTCACATAGGTAATATAAACAAATAAGTAAATATGTTCATTATTTATCTTTCAAGAGATAATGTAATGGAAAAAACCCGTGATTTCGAAAGAGAACAAACGTGTTTTATATAAGAACAATCGAAAATGAATATTTACGAGTCATTAAGGATGAAAAAATATTAAAAATTGCAATTGGGGGCCTAACTTGTAGATATATTTTTAAAAATTATTTTAAAATAAATAAACGCAGAACAAACAATTACTAACGGTGAACAATCAAGGACAAATGATGAACAAACGAATTAATAGAAAATAAGTAGAAAATAGGAAAAAAAATTATTTTGAGGGGCTAACTTCAGTCACCTGCCGGTTACCTATTCATTAAATTAGCAAATGATCACAGCGTATAAGTGTATAATCTATGGCCTGTATATTTAAATATTTGGGGTTATAAATACCAGGTCATAAAACCCAAAAATATATATTTAAATATTTAATTGGGACTTTTTGGCGGGAACCAGAGGAGTGAAGTTGTGTGATTTGTTTTATTTTGTCTATTTAGTGTTTCTTCAGGTTTAAATGTGTAATAACGCTGCTTTATTAACTGTTTAATATCTATGAAAGTGCATAAATGTGGGAAAATGAAACAAAGCCGCTAGACGTAACTTTTCGGAATCCTCCAAAAGTCCACCAACAAAATCTCAGGTAATGACCATAACTTTACTGAGATTATATTTCATCTTATATCATCTCATTCTCTCATTTCATTTATTTCATCCCAGTTGATTAATGTCTCCAATTAATCATCTTCATTTCATTTCGTTTCACTCCATATTATCATTTTTCATAAATTAAGAACATTAAAATAAGACATGACTTAAAGGTCTCAATTACCAGGTTATAAGATCGCTTAAAAAAATAATTAAATATTTAGTTAAAATGGCGAACTCATGTCTGTTGGATGAAAAATAAAATGGTAGGGAATTAAATTGAATGAGGTGCGATAAGACAGCAATGTAGAGGTTGGACAGGATGAAATGAAATAGCCTTTTAGTTATCCAACTCCTTTACTGTTTTCTTAGTAAATTTGTGGCGGGTAGCCATCATACAACGCAAGATAATTGACAGATGCCTGAATCTCGCTTACGACATTTTCAAGATAAAGCGCATATATACAAGTTCCGAACAACAACATTCGGACCGTCGGTCTACCGAGCATTATCAGCCGCTCGGTGAAAGATCTTCCCTTTCGTCGTTAATCAGCACCAAACTGGTGACCCCGACGTGATGTGAACACGCAACCTTCTGATTCATCATCAGCGCATCAAGAACTTCGGCTACCACAATCCCCGCATTCTCGCAGATCAAAAGCAAGTCTTCGACAGTCGTCCCACAGCAAGCCAGCATCGCAGCCTCAACAGGACCATCGCAGCCGACTCACCGCGCTTCCTGGCCCTACGGCACGCACCTACACTGCCTCATCGCGCAGCATTCAAGCTCAGTCTCGACTCACCGCAGACTTCAAGCAGCACTGGCGACAATCACGCAGCATTCAAGCTCAGTTTCGACTCACCGCAAACTAAATAATTAAATAATTAATAATTAAACTTCGAGCAGCACTGGCACTTGCAAGCTAATCTCAGCACGGACAACGCTAACTAAATGACACGACCTCCGGTCTCGGAGGGGAGTGATGTGGCGGGTAGCCATCATACAACGCAAGATAATTGACAGATGCCTGAATCTCGCTTACGACATTTTCAAGATAAAGCGCATATATACAAGTTCCGAACAACAACATTGGGACCGTCGGTCTACCGAGCATTATTATTATTACCATTTGAGACCGGGTTTTGTCAGACTCCGGCGCCACATTCAGAAATTTCATTTTAGTTAGCCCTTCTAAACTTTCAAAGATCCCAAACTGTTCTCTTAATGATCTAAGCATTTAAATCTGAAGAAACGTCATAACTTAACAGAATTTAAGAAATCACACAAAACTTGGCATTTCTCGTTCCCGCCAAAAATCAAAACCAAAGACGAATAAATAGCTTGGTTTAATATTACGCTGTGTTGACAAAGTAGGGAATGAAGGGGTGGACTTTCTGGCGGGAACGCGAGGAGTGATGTTGTGTGATTTGTTTTATTTTGTCTATTTAGTGTTTCTTCAGGTTTAAATGTGTAATAACGGTGGTTTATTAACTATTTAATATCTGTGAAAGTGCACAAATGTGGGAAAATGAAACAAAGCCGCTGGACGTAACTTCTCGGGATCCTCCAAAAACTCCACTGAAAAATCTCAGTAAATGACCGCCATTTTACTAAGATTATATTTCATCCCATATCATTACATCTCATCTCATTTCAGTTCATTTCATCTCAGTTGATTAACGTCTCAAATTCTTCTCAATCTTCATTTCATTTCATATTATTATTTTTCATAAAAATAAGAATATAAATTAAAATAAGACATGACTGAAAGGTCTTAGTTACCAGGTCATAAAATCTTTTAAAAAAGAATGAAGAGGTGAAGCCACCATTTTCCCTCCATTTGCTCTGCTTATTTTGTGATATTTTAAGAAGGGTCTGCTTATCAAGTTCATTATGAGAAAAATATCAAAAAATCGTACAGATGATGATGTAGTATCATCTACTAATGGATCTTTGTTAAATGACGATCAAACTGCGACGGAGAACAAAACTGTCGAATCTGTAACTGATGAAAGCGTCGATCAAAACAATGATGATTTTTCGAACACTTCCAAAGAAACTAAAAGAGGCAAATCTGGCAAAGGAAAAACAAAGAAAAATAAAGCGGCAAAAGACAAAAGTGTCGTTGAAGAAGAATATGAGGTGCGTTTGTGTGGTTTATTCCCGGTTTGTTTGTTTCCCAATCAATGTAAAGCTAACTCAATATTTGCAGGTCGAGAAAATTCTTGATTCTAAGAAGATTAAAGGCAAACTACATTATTTGATTCGCTGGAAAGGATATTCTGCAGACAGTGATACTTGGGAACCTGAGCAAACTTTGTCTTGTCCTGAACTAATCGGAAAATTTAATGAAGAAGTAAGTATCACTATTGTAACTCAGATTTTAAATTCAGGTATTAAATATATACAATTAAGAGAAGGATTCATGGTCCATAATGTATACTTAGACTCCCCGCGCACTAGGCAGCCTGGCTGCGGCAACCAGGCGAATTTAAGGCGTTGTATGGGAGCCCGCGCACATAAGCAGCCCGGAACTCTTGGCTGCGGCAGCCAATACAATGCGCCTGTTCGTTATGCCAAATGTTAGTTATATGGCACAGCATGCTTGTACAATCTCTTGTTTTAAAAAAAAACCAGTCTGGGTGTGTATGAACATCTTTAAAATAGTTACAGTATAAGCCTTTTGAATGCTGTTCTAGAAAAAGAGGATGAATCCAGTGTCTTTTCTTTGCTTTGCGTTTTTTGCGAGATAAAGTTAAAATCACTCGTTGAAAAGATCATAAATTGGCATTGATTGGCTGCTATAACTAGCTGCTCATATATTTTGGTTGCTGCAGCCAGGCTGCCTAGTGCGCAGGGAGCCTTAAAGTTCAATGGTTTGTTGCAG